CCACAGAGATAAACAGCCACTGGAGTCCAGATACACTCACTCCCTGTGAGACGTTCCTGTTGAGAAGCCGCATGGAGATAAGGTGATGGAGCCGGAGCCCTGGAACTGGAGGAGCCACGCGGAGGCCCACGCCAGCGCTGAGATGTTTCTACTACCACTGGATCCACAAAGACTTTCCACCCACTGGCCTGTGATCTTCCTGCAATCCTGAAGTCATTGCATGGCTGCATGAGCCTAAAGAGGAATTTACAGACTAGTATCGACATACGGGGCAATATCAGACTTATGGACTTGATCTGGACTGGGCTGGGTGTTTTCTTAATGTACCATCGCTCTTTGATATGAAGTTCTCTCTGACACACATATGAGTGTCTCTGGATTTGTTTCTCTAGTCAACCTGGACCAACACAGGCTGTCTGCTTGGCCATCAAATGGGTGGTGGGTGCCGGTGCTGGAGGGTCAGCTTCAGCGGCTAAAACCCCACAGCCATTGAGTGGACCCAGACTCATGCTGACGCTAGAGAGGAGCAGGACTGCCCCCTGGGACGCTCTGAGACTGAGCATCTTTAGGGGTGCAGAAAGCCTCATCTCTTTCCCTCAAGCGCAGCTGGTGGCTTTGAGCTGCTGACTTGTGGCTCCAGGCAGAGCCCACACCACCCCCATAGCTTCAAGCACACCCAAATGGTGGAGCTGGCACCAGCCGGGACAGATGTTCCCCCTGTTAAGCACAGGGTCTGCCCTGAGTTGGACAGCAGAAGTGGGGCTGCTGGGAACCCCCAGCTCAGTGTTTCCAGAAGCCTGGGGGCTGCAGGGCTGGTGCTCAGCTCCCACCATGCCATCCTGCCCCCACACATCCAATCTGTCAAGGCCCAAAGCCTGGACCGCCCGCTGTACTTGAACTAGGCCATCTGCCCTCAAGGATGAGCCCACTTGCACTACCAAGGCCTCCTGTGGGTGGTCTCTCCAAGGTGCCCAGTCCACCTCTTGCCACCCACCCCAGGATTTATACTTACTGAATTGTCAACGATGCCAAAGCAGCAGCCCCACTCCAGGAAGCAGGGGAGGCACTTAGGACAAAGAAACTGGGGTGTGCTCAGAGGGATGAGGGGTGGCAGACCCTATTCCAGCAGGAAGGACCTTGTGTTAGTCCAAATTGACTAGAGAAACAAATCCAGAGACACGCGTGTGTATAATAGTTTTATATAAAAATGTAATTGTATATTGAGAAAACAGCCCAGCCCAGTCTAGAACAAGTCCATAAGTCTGATAATAGCCCATATGTCCGATACCAGTCTATCATGTCGATATAAATCTATAAATTCCTCTTCAGACTCACGCAATACATGCAATGACACCGAATACAGGAAGATCACAGGCAAGTGGGTGGAAAGTCTTGTGGATCCAGTGGCGATGGAAGCATCTCAGTGCTGGTGTGGGTCTCCATGTGGCTCCTCCAGCTCCAGGGCCCTGGCTCCATCAGCATAGCTCCACGTGGCTTGTCAGCAGGAATGTCAGTCAGAGAGTGTCCTGCCTCCAGGGAGGAAGACAGGAGTTCCCAGGATTCTCAGGAAAAGACCATGACCACACAGAGGCATGACTGGGTATGACCTGATTGACAGGCTAGACTCCACCCCATAACCTATTTAACAAGTTGACATGAAATTATGTAACTACCACAGACCTCATCCCTAGTGGGAATAAGGTGTATCTGGACCACTGGGTCCCAGAGGAGATGTCAGGTGCACCCCAAGCATGACAGGGAAAGCAGGTAACAGATGAGCTGGTATGCTCGGGCAGGGACCCGGTGGCACTAGGGCATGTGTCTGCCATTCCCGGTCTACAGCTACAGCAAAGCTGTACCCCGCTGGGGCTTCTCCCCACACTGTTTGGACAGAGAAATCAATGACACGCTGAAGGAATTTAGGGTGAGAGAAACTGGGACCCGGTACCACCTCCCCTGTCAATGCTTCAGCTACCGTACTGGCCTCCCCTCCCTCCTACAAACAGACGTGAGGTCACCGA